GGGGGGGGGGACTAAAGAAAAGAAGAAGGCCGAGCGCTGCTTCGTAGAGCGATGCAAGTTCTGGTACAAGCCGAAGTCTCTGCACAAGAACCCCAGCGAGGGCTCGGCTTTCAAAGGAGAGCCCTAAAGATAAGCAAAAGGGCGCTGGCTCTTCTTCAGAGAGGGGAGGGGGCTTCTCTCTTCTGTGAAAGGGGGGGTACTCTGCGCAGGGGGATTGCTTTGGAAACTGATACTGAACTCATCAGCGCCAGATGCGCCACTAAGACCCTCTGACGACAGAGGCCTGGAAGGGGCGCTGGGCAAGCATGGTGGCATCTTCCCACACCTGGGGGTCCCAGCGGCGAGGGCATGCTACTGGCAAACAGCTGCCACTAGGTGCCCGGCTAAGGCCTCCCTTCAGCCCCCGGGGGATGACGAACAATCCATTTTATCTTCTAGGCTGCAATTCTTTTAGCCCGTTTTGCATTTCTGACTGCCTTATTTTCCTGCTTGGGTGTTACGTGTAGTTTTTTTGCTCCCTGGACTGCCCTGACAGGGAAATGGATCAGGGCCAGAGGATTTCTTTTTCCTCTTGCCGTTCACTTCCATCCGAATTCAGCCGCAGGTCTGACTGTTTGGGCAAAGCGGGTTGGCTCCTTACCACAATGGCATTGCTGGCGCCCGTAGACAGGTAGATATTCTCTGGGTTGGAGGGAATCCCCTCATCCCGGCGCTGAATGAAGGCAGCCACATCCTGGCGGATGAGTTCGATCCCGGGACTGGCGCTGTAGGCCCCTGACGAGAGTAGGAGACAGGGACAGAAAGCAGCTGGTGTCACGGGGATCCGCTTGGCTCTCCAGCCCGGACCGGTCTTCTCTGGGGGCAGAGGGGCTCGCGGGGGGTGGGGGGAAGCTCGCTGGTCCTTACTGCCCACAGTGGCAGCATCCTGGGAGTAGCAGCAGCAATGAGGATGGCGGGACGGAGGCCAAGAGGAAGGCCCTGCTGAGGCTTGCGCACTTGATATGCAGTTTTAATTCCTTCAGGGGCTAACAGGGCCACGAGTAAAGCGGCAGGAGTCCAAGAGGCACGCCATGCGCAAGGCCATGGGGCCTGGGGGAGCCCACCATGTGGTCATGTGCATCATGGTGTCACCACGGCACAATTTGCTTGGCGACACTGTGACACGCATGGCGCCCCTCGCCCTCCCTCGCCCTTCTTCAGTCACCAGGATTCCTCGCACGTGGGACCGGCCCAAGGCCCTGGGGCCCAGGAATCAAGCCCAGGGCCCCAGAGGCCAGAAGGCGCTGAATGCAGCATCAGTGGCCCCTCCAAGGATGCCACCCAAAGCCAGTCACTTGACGCTGCCCCCCAGGACTGGTCCTACTGAGAGAGCTGGGGGGAGCAGGGGAGGCTCCCAGCCTGACAGGGACCCTTCTGGCCCGGAGGACCGAGCAGGAGGGCGCAATGGCGCAGAAGGTGGCGATGGGGGCCGACTCAGTCGGAGGGGGCGAAACAAGAGCCTCCGGCTCCTCCCGGGGGCTAGCGGGGCCCGGGGCCGGCCCAGGTGTCTTCTGAGGGCCTCCTTTAAGGGGTGGGGGGATGAGGAGCCACCCCGGGATGGCCGAACACTCACCCACGCTCTGCCCTCCGCACGCAGCCAGCAGCCGCCGAGCTTTCTGCTTCGCATCTTCAGGAAACTCGGGGGAATTTAGGAGGTCGGGATACAGGCAGAGGGCGCTGACCTGCCGGGGGACATCTAGGGTGAGGGAGCCGCTGCAGCCTCCCCACTGCCTCGCCCCACTTTCCATGTAGGCGCTGTCCTTTCTTGCCACCCCCCCCAATCTCCGCATGAGGTGTTTGCGGGCTTTCTGCACATGCTCAGAGTCACTCTCTTCCTGTCCTCCCAGGCACCAAGCCCGCCCGGGTCAGTCTCGGGCACTGCCAAATGGGGCTAAGGCTGATTGGGTGAGGAGAGCGCTCTCCCCCTCGCACCCCTTCCCTGGCATCCCCCAACCCGGCGCCCGCAGGAACGACGGAGGCCGGGAGCTCTTCTCCCGACTGGAGTCCCCTTTCACCCTCCTCTGCACCTTTTCTGGCCTCGGCAGCCACGCAGGGGAGGGAGGATGCCCGGAGCTGGAGGCCGGACTGGGAAGTGAGTCGGCCGAGCGGTGGGAAGACGCTTCTGCAGCGAAGCCGAGCGTGAGGGGGCGCCCGCGAAGCGGCCTAGGCCAAGCTCCGCTCAAGGCAGCCTCAGCTCAACCTCAGACCCCCTGCTCACAGGTGGGCGCCACTCACTCCCAGCAAGGGCGAGGATCAGGGATGATGGGACCCAGAGGGGCCCACGAGGTAAGGTCGAAAAAGTCAAGATGGAGGCTGCAGCTGCACGACTGAAGCTCCACTCTGTTTTTACGTGCAAGGCTGGAGCTTTGATTGCACCACCACAATCCCCATCTTGGCAATTTTGGCCATGCCGCATGGACAGCCTGATGGGACCCGAATCCTCCGTTGCAGCCACCAGCCACCGCCGTCAGGTTCCTCCTCCTGCTCCTCCTCCCCTCCGTGGCTGTTGTAGCTACACATTTTGCCCCGCGCTCGCCCTAGTTCTCGCAGCGAAGCGATCGGTGCGTGGGCCACGAGGGTTTCTCTTATCAGCCGGCCGGTTGCAGAGCCTGGCGCTGAGCGCGCGACCGGCCCAAGGTCACCCAGCCGCTTCCAGGCCCGGGAAGCGCTGGAACCTGCAGTCAGTGCAGCCCCTTCACCCATCCCTCTGGCTCCCCCCGCTTAAGACTCGAAGGGACAGTCTCCAGAGCTGGGAAGATCTGCCCCCCAAAAAGGGAGGCATTGTTCAGAAGCTCCCTCCACCCCCGCCTGCCCTCCGGATCATACCTGGCGCAAGAAAGTGATGGGCTTCTGCCCCATAGCTTGAGCATCCCCAATGTTGGCTGCGATCACTTCGGTGAAGGGCTTCCTGGCTCCCTGGAAGGAAGAGCAGGAGGGAGGCTGGTTCGCAGCGTGGCCTGAGCCCCCCACTATCTGCCCCGCAGCCAGCAGGGCGGTCCAAGGGAGACGTGCTGCTGCCTTCGGCGGAGGCTCTCCATGGCCTTGCCAGCCCCTCCCACCGAAACATGGAAGGGAAGGTGCCCAACGGGGCAGGGTCTCTTCAAAGGGCCGAGGCACCTGGGTCGGGCTCGGGGGCTCGCGGAGACTGGCAGGCGGAAGGACATCAGGCACCCTTTTGGCCAGAAAACGTCAGGAATGGGGAATTCCAGCCTGTTGCCTGCTATTCTTCAACATCAGGGATCCTGCTGAACTTCAAAGGCAGCCCTCCCCTCCTCCTCCTCCTCCTCCTCCTCCTCCTGCACACATGCGCACGCGCACACACATCCCACCAAGAGCCATGCACACGGCTCTTGGAGAAAAGCCTTTCAAGGTGGTCAGGCAGATTTCTCAGGAAGCCGCGCAAGCAGGTAGAGAGCCTCCAGCCGTGGGGACTCCATACAGCTGCCCAGTCAGGTGGCAGCCCCCGTGTCACTTTGCCTGATCTTGGAAAGCTAAACTGGGTTGGGCCTGATTAGTCCTTGGATGGGAGACCACCAACAGCAGGCCAGGCCGGGAAGTCAGAACGGCTTCTGCGGTGCTGCCAAGAAACAGAGGGCTGCGCCTGCAAAGGCCAGGGATCGCGTTTGATTTTAGGGAGACTCTAAACAGCCACCAGCAACCCCCCCCCCCCCCCCACA